ATTTCTTCCCTCTATTTTCTTCTCTTTGTTTTCTCTGAGTCAAAGTGGTACAAGTCGTGGTTTATCGATCTACCATGGGAGCTAGAGAACGTAGTAGAGGAGGAGAAAAGCACAATCAAACCCAAATTGATAAGATCCAAGAATTATGAAGACAAGTGGATTAGATGGTGCAAGAAATTCAAACTTTGCATCGAGAATGACCCAATCAATCCGTTGTGAAACTGGATGTTGAATCAGGAGATGATCTGCAATCCAACGATAATCTTTTCCACAGCAAGGAAGGGGGTTTGATCACCCCTCTCCCCCCCCAGAGGATCTCTTTTATGTCATGGGAGATTTGATTTATGACAAGAACATGATCTTACAGAAGATCCTATCTATGATGAGGAACAAGATTTTATAGGAATCTCAATCTTTGATGAAAGAAAAAAAGAATATCTTATTATTGGTAAACATTTTGTGAGCCATCAGATATTTGATGATGGAATTTTCAATCTTTGATTAAGAAAAAGAAGAATAAGATTTTGTGAGTGATTGGATATTTGCTGAAGGACATAGTGACGGCAAGGGGAACCGGGAAATCCTAGGGTCTCCATCAATCATGGAAGTCATGGGGGAAAATCTAGGATTTGGTGAAGAGCAAGTTGGAGAACTCCAAGGAGAGGATGTTGTGGGGGCTGAACTAGGTAATTCATGTGGGACTTATATTTGGAACTAAGGCAATAAGTTTGGGAAATGATTTCATGCAACCAATGGTTTAAAAAGTGGATCGGTGACCTTGATCGGGCACCTCAAAAACCAATCCGGATTGGCGAATCGGCGATTCGGATCGAAAAGCGGGTGAATCGGTCAGAATAAAGCTTCAAAAAAAATCTGAAAAAATTATTAAAATTCATTATAAATATTGTTTTTTAGGAATTCAATAAGAAATGAAAGTACTCCATTAACAATTTTCATGTTTTTGCATGAATATGCGAATATTGATATGTTCTTTCCCTGCATGAACTACTATTCAGCATTTAATTTACATCACACAAAAGGATAAACATAGAATTATTATGGAATAAGTATTTCAACATACATGGACTACAATAAAGCATACAATTAGTAACATACGATCTAAAAATAAAATGACAGACGACGTTGTTGTTCTTCTTGGTCACGCTGGTGCCATTGATTGACTTCGTTTGACAATTCATTGATTCGATCTAAAAACAAATCATCGATATTACCTTTGTTAGCATTAAGAATTGCCGTCATCTGTTTTTTTACATTACTAAGGACACTAGTGCATACAAAAACATCTCCCTTAACCCCTGCCAAGTGTTGCTTGAATCTATGTACCCCACTACTTATCACTCTTTGACAGGAATTACAAATAATTTTGTCTTTTTTGTTGGGATCAAGTCTGACCCCATGTTGCCATGCAGGGTCTTCTGCAGATCTTGACATGATTCAATTGTTTTAAGATGTAAAAAGTTAAAAATTAACCTGACAGTTCAACAAGAAAAATAATCACCACGTGTAGTGATAATATGTTAGGGTAGTTCATATAGTCATATTTGTTATTATTTGTTATTGCAAAATACCTCTATTGACAATAACATTTTCGTACATATCAATTACAAACATTCAGAATAATATAATACAATATGCAAGCTCCAAACATGGCTACAACTCAATTATCAAGAACATACATTTTTTGCATTAAAAAATTAATAATAAAAGCAATTCTTCACAGAGCCACCTAACATCGGTCATTCCAACTAAAAAATGCATTAACAATAGATTAAAAAAATACAATTTTGCATTAAAAATATAATAACATGCATTTTTTTGTATAAATAATCTATCAACATACAATTGTTTCAACAAAAACTTTAACAATAAAAATTTTATATATGGTTTAATACCTCATAATAATTAAAACATTGTCACGATTTTCACATCTTTTAGGAAAATTATCATTTTTCAAAAAATTTGATCATGGAAAAAAAAAAAAAGTACAGCAAACTCAGACAATAAAAATTAAAAATTGGGTTTAATACATCATGATAATCAAAACCTTATCACGATTTTCACATCGTTTCGAAAAATCATCAGTTTTCAAAAATTTCGATTATGGATAAAAAAATTTTAAAAAAAGTACAGCAAATTTTCAAAAAATTCGATCATGGATTACAAAAAAAATTCAATCATGGATTAAAAAAAACTTAACAAATTTTCAAAAAATTTGATCATTGATTACAAAAAAAAATTCGATCATGAATTAAAAACAAACAATCACAAATTTTCAAAAAATTTGATCATGGATTAAAAAAAAAAAATCACAAATTTTCAAAAAATTCAATCATGGATTACAAAAAATTCGATCATGGATTATAAAAAATTCGATCATGGATTACAAAAAATTCGATCATGGATTATAAAAATTCGATCATGGATTACAAAAAATTCGATCATGGATTACAAAAAAACAAAAAACAAACAATTCGATCATGGATTACAAAAAAGAAAAAACAATTCGATCATGGATTACAAAAAATTCGATCATGGATTACAAAAACTCTATCATGGGTTACAAAAAAAGATCAAATTGAATACATCTAATTATAAACAACACTATAACGATTAAAAACGCTAGAAATCTAACACATTATTTGTAATATATCATGAACAAAAAATCAAAAGGCGAAAAAAAAAAAAAAACAAGCAGAAATGTTTTTTCACAGACATCACTGTGTTCATCTAAAAAATCATGCTGTAATTGACCAAATTAAATAAAATTGAATATGTTAAATCATAATAGACAAAATAAAGATTAAAACCCCTACAAATTGAACTCATTATCTTCAAAATATGCAGTGAAATTAATCATATGGCGGAAGAAAAAAAAAACCCAAACTTCTTACCTGGTTTTGTGAACCCGAGCCTTCAATCTCCAAATAACTCTGTTTTTCTCAACGATTATCACAAATTCGTAACAGAAGGTTTTAATGAACAACTTTACGATCAAAATGCCTACAAATTTTGACAGATTCATGCCCTATTTGGCATAAAACACAAGGAAAGGTAAAAACCCTAAAAATGCAACTTTCGTGATCCAAAAACACAAAATTTTTCAACCATTTAATCCGTGAAAAAGCTGAATAAAGCTGTTTAAAGCATGCATATTCGATCACATGCCAAAAAAAACAAGAAAAATGATCAAAAAATGACAAATTTTGAAGAATCCCGTGAAGAACACTGTGCAGCCCGTGTTCTTCACTGGACTTGCCGATTCCGTACGGTGAATCGGCGAGTCACTGTATAGAATCGCTCGGTTCTCTCTAGAACCGGGCGATTCCCGATTTTTTGAGCGATTCGAGACGTCTATGGCCGATTCCCGAGTAGAACCGAGCAAGTCCGGTTCGACTCGGCGGTTTTTTAAACACTGCATGCAACAGTTGTATATTAGTATAATGCAACCATCGACCATGTTAAATACATTTGTTTGACACGAATTTTTAAATGTACACTCTTTTCATTATGAAGAACAATCACAAAAATAAATAAATAAATAAATAAAATAAAAAAATGCTTTAAAATGCTTTCATTCTAGCCCAATTAATATAAGCCGTCCATTTAATTGAGATGGTTAGATATAGGCCTCAGAAGGATTTTTTATTCCCAAAATTTTTATATTGCTTTATCATCATTAGATTAATAATGCTAAAAAAGAAAAAAGTGATTTTGAATTTATTAAAGTCTAGATCTTGAAATTCACCAAATGGATGGTCGAGATTCGTTGTAGATGGGTACTAATTTTGACCATATCTAGGCTGTAAATTTATTTTTTTTTCGTAAGAATGATTATGAGGATGAAAGAGAATGTGTGTACAAAATTTAGGGTAATACAAATGCCAAAAATATAGTTTTCTAAAGGTGTGGTTACATTATACTACTATACAACCGTTGCATCATATCATTTCCCAATAAGTTTATGTGACTGTGCTAGGTTGATATATCAAAACTACTTCATTGACATATTATAGCCGTCTCCTCAAGGTGTCCCCAAGTGTTCATGTGCTTGTTAGCTAATTGCAAATCCTCATATTTCATATATAGTATTTGGTTTGAGGAAGATTGTGGGCTTAGTACAATCCTATCCTATTTAAACGAGTTTTCTCTAGCCAAGGTACTTTCAGTTGAAAAGACCAAAAAACTTGCTTCCTGAAAGCTAACTAGTTCTCGCGCGTCTCCACTCATGATGTGCTTGATTTGGGGTATCTTTGTTGCTGAAAATTCTCTTCTTTCTATTCTCTTATTCTTTTCAGTTTAGGCACCTCACCGAGTAAACAAAATTCCACCAGCGGCTACCTAAAACTACGTCAAAACATGACAAAAATGAAAGGTATATTTATGAGCCTTCCATATTCTCCCAAGACCCGTGGCTTATGGGGAGTGTAGACCCGCGGCGTTTGGGGAGTGTCTTTCCTCTGCTCAAAATCTCAAAATTTGGAGCCGCAAATGGCACACCCCAGCCATCAAATTGTGATTCCTTCCAAAGATGGGATTGAGATTGATCCCATCCTTTGAAGGGATCGGATGGGATGTGTCACACAAATTCTATTTTACAAATTCCAAGTAAAATAGAATTTGTACGGCATGCACACCCATCCAGCCGTCCTAATGCTCTTGACAAGAGCCCTTGATTGATAAATATATATTTAATGGAAAAATTTTATATGTAGGCATATTCCCGCATATGAGCTTAAGCGACCAACCATCCAACTATTGGACAGTAGTGATTGAAAGACTTATCTTTCAATCACCATCGTCCAACCGCATACGCGGATGGTAAACGCATCCACATTCAATTGACTATGAGATGCAAATAACTCAAAAGATTCCATGATCAGCCTACAAATGCCAAGTTGTCTGCTTTCTAAGCAACAGATTGGAGCATGTGATTCCTATTCGACAGCACACTTGACAGTAATTACCCACGGACAAATATATTGGGTAACTGGAGATTATCATTTATCGTGCCTTTAAATATTCCCTCTATATTATTCCAATGGCCATTTTAAGTGTTTCAGCATTTCTTTTCCAACAGATACTACAGCATGGTCACCACCAAAATCAAACTGATAAACATGACCCTCCACTAGATTCCAAAAACCATACAGCTACACCTAGGTTTAAACCTACTAGAGGATCAAAATTTTCCCACTCAAAACCTCAGACATCATGTATATAACACCTTAAACTAAAGAGAGAAAAAAAAAAGGCAAAAAAAAGAAGAAGAAAAGAATCATACATGATCATTTTAATCCTTGATCCTCATGGAGAAAGCATCTCATTCAGGCAATCATCCATGTCAAGTGCCGGTATCGTATCCACTTTGCCCCAACATTAATTCCAATCACCAGTGACAAAACCCAAAGAACGAATGGTGGTTTCCAGCCAAAACTCGATCTAATCTCGCCCCCTCTCTTTTCTTCAGGCATCTTTGAATATTGAATCATGGCAAGAGCCAAATAGGAAGTAATGGCAAGCACCCGAACCCAAGGCTCCCCAACCCCGACCAACACTGAGGCAACAGGCAAAACAGCTGAGACCCCATCTCTCTTCTTCACAAAACGTGAAAAGCAAAAGATGCCCAACGCTAGCAACCAGAAAAATGGCTCAAGTAATAAATCCGTAACAGCCAAAAACCCAATAAAACCAGAAAGTGTGAGAATAAAAGGCTGGTTTTTCACAGAGCCAGGTTCCACTGATTCTGCAATCGCAAAGACTGCTGAAGTTAACATGATGATCACAAGCAGTTCTCCAACAGGAGCTGATGCAACTATGCTTGAATAGATCGATCTTGAGATATAGAGGACGGTCTCAACATTCCTAATTAAACCAGTGATGAAATCCCCAGCAAAATGGTATATGAAGGCCAAAATAAATTTCGAGAGGTACATAAAGAATTGGGCAATGGCAAGCACCGCTTTCTTCCAATTAGAAAGTTCCCATAGAACTGTTTGCCAGCAATAAATCAGGAAAATGGAGACTGCAAGATACACGAGCAACAGATGCATCAGGAGAGAGAAGCCAGATGTTTCATAATGCAATAGAAAAATATGAATAAAGAAAGTCAATGTATATTTCTAATGTAGTTACATTGCTGAAATTCCCGCAGCAACTAGATTCAAATGCTGAGTCTTAAAATAATGAGAACAAGTCACATACCAAAAATAAATAAAGTCATACAACAATAAACTTCACAAACATTAATAACAATGTGAACTCTCTCCAAACTCGACAGATACTGGCTATCACCCGAATGGGACTCTTCCCTTCCTAGATACCAACAAACACCCCACCCCCCCGCTTGGGGGCCCCAGACCTTTTAGATTCGAAATTTCCTGGTTTGAGGAACCCTCTTTCAAATCTCTTTTCCACTCGAGGCTTTTCATGGATGGGCAGGCTTCTGCATCAAGAAAAAACTTCTACTACTTAAGCCCCTCCTCAAAGACTGGGCTCGCCACCATCTAGGGAACTACAAGGAGCAGACAGAAGCCCTTCTTGAGTCTATCCGCTCCTAGTATTCTTTGAAAGAATCTCGTCCCCTTAACCTAGTGAAACCTCTCTCAGAGAACAAGCCAAGCTCGACTACCAGACTACTCTTTGCAAGGAAGAGATTTTTTGGTACCAGCACTCTAGAGTCAAATTGCTCAAGTTTGGGGATTCTAACACGGCTCTCTTTCACAAGATCGCCAATAGTCATAGGAGGGACAACTTCATCTCCCAAATTAAGGTTGGAGATTAGTTATTCGACCAACCTTCACAGGTCAAGGAGGCAATTAGCAATTACTTCAAGACTCTCTTCTAGCCCGCTTAGGGCCCTACAACTTACATGGTCAGCCTATCCTTCAATCACATTCCCCCCCAACCAAGCCTCTTGGCTTGAAAGAGCCTTTTCTGAAGAGGAGATCCTCTCCGCTATCAAAGACCTTGGCCAGGACCACGCCCCAGGGGCGGATGGGTACCCAATAACAATTTTCAACCAATTTTGGGAGATCATGTGCCCTGATATTGTGGCCATGTTTAATGAATTCCATGAGAGAAGGATCATTAACAAAGCCATGAATGCCACATTCATCGCCCTCATCCCCTAAGGAAGAAGGGTTTGAGGAACTCAAAGATTTCAGGCCCATAAGATCCTGTCCAAGGTCCTGACCACCAGACTAAGATGGGGTGGGTCATCTGCTCTACACAAGAAGCCTTATGTAAAAGATTGTCAGATCCTTAACGGCGCCCTAGAGATGCATGAGTGCATTCACTCCCGTCATCTGGCTGTAACCCCAAGGGTGATCATCAAACTGCACTATAGAATGCATACAACCATGTCGACAAGGACATCCTAGACACTACACTTTCTAAAATGGGGTTCAGTCTTCGCTGGCAATCTTGGATCAGAGCTCGCATCTCCAATCCTTCCTTTTCGGTGTTACTCAATGGATCACTGAAGGGCTTCTTCCATTCCTCTAGGGGGCTCAAGCAAGGAGACCCCATTGTGCCACTTCCTCTTCACCATTGTCACAGAAGTTTTTCGCAAGTCGATCTCAGGGATGTACGGTAGTGGCCTCACAAAATTTAGGTTGGCAGAACTGGACCGAAATTTCCCATCTCCAACATGCCGATGATAAATTCATTTTTTGTGATGCCAACACTACCCAAATTTGATTAGTTGAGGGTTTTCCTCAAAAAGTTCGAGATGCGTATGGGTAATATGGCAAAACTAAGATGATGGGTGTTGACTGGTCGCCCAAATCAGTCTCCTCCCTTGCTGGTAGATTGGGACACCTATTTAGGCCATCCTCTGTGTATTGGAAAACCCAAAACCTACCAATGGAGCCACATTTTAGATAGAGTTGAGCGTAGACTTGTGGGATGAAAGGGAAGATACCTCTCTTCGGCGGGTCGCCTCACCCTCATCAAGGCTACCCTCTCCAACATCCCCGTCTTTTAGATGTCTCTGTTTCTCATGCCTGCATCAGTAGCCGACCGGTCATGAAGAAATTATGAGGAATTTTCTCTAGGCAGGAGAGGGGGGGTGGGAATACCACTTGATCTCTAGGGCCAGAGTTTGCTCTGAATCCTCAAGGGGGCTTGGGTATTTGAAATCTCAAAGACAACTTAGCCCTGCTCGGCAAATAGTGGTGGCGCTTCGCCATGCAGGAGAACCATCTCTGGTGGAGGTAGTGTGAATCAAATATCACTGGGAAAAAGACGCATGATAGCATTGGCCCCAACTACTCGGGAATATGGAGGTCCCTCATTCCCTGTCTATCCCCCTCACCTCTCACTTCCGTTTCTGCCCTCATGCTGGCCATCGTGTCCTATTTTGGTCTCACGTGTGGCATGGCCAAACTCCTCTCAAAGAAAGATTCCTCCTTTTCCTCATTAAAAGAAACCCACTAGCCAACTGATAGCTTCCAGTTGATGGGCCAAAGCCGAGTGTGGCACCTGAGGTTCAGAAGCCCCTCCAATTTCTGACCTCTCGAGGGGAACCAAGTTGATTTGGGTTCCTGCCACCTCTGGCATCGTTTTTGCATCCTCTTACCATACATCCCATCACAACCCCACCCCACCCACCCACCCCATACGTCCCTTTGTGCCTAAAGTTTGGTGTTCCCTTGTTCCACCTAAGATCCAACTGTTCAATTGGATCACCTTCTCCGAAAGAGCTTTGACAGTGATCAGCTTCAGCTTAGAGGAAGAGGAGACTAAACCCCACTTATTCATACAATGCCCTATTGCTAGTTCCCTGCAGGAATACCTGATAGTGGATACAAAGACTAGAGCAAATTTTCAAGCCGAAAAACAAGGCAAAATGGATACCTTCAACAAGCCACTTGCTTAAAAACAAGCAAAGTGAATAAGTCACAATCCTTTAAATAACAATTACAACCGTTTCTAGCCTTGTAAAACAACTGTAAATAAACTCAAATACCAACCCCTTATGGGACAATTACATATAAAGCAAGATTAGCTTAAGAATTACACTTTCATAGCACAAATTACATAAACTATGTCCTAAAGCTTAAATACAACATACAACTGATCTAAACAAAATTCTAAAGAATAAAATCAACTAAACAGAGAATTAGAATGCCAAATTAAAATCGAAAAGCCATGGTTCGAACCCCTTGTGTGACTTAATTTTGTCCCTTCAGATTGTATAAAAGTGGTTCAATCTCACAAGAGTGTCTGATCCAAATGGAAAGCAATTACACACCTTAAAATCACTTCTTAAGATCTCAACACACTGGCATTATCATCCACTCTTGTTCTTTATCCAATTCGATTCAAACCTTTTGCATTCTGTTTTGGATGATAAAGCTAGTGTGTTGAGATCTTAAGAAGTGATTTTACGGTGTGTAATTGCTTCCCATTTGGATTAGACACTCTTGTGAGATTGAATCACTTTCATAAAATCCGAAGAGACAAATTAAGTCCTTATAGGACCCAATGGCATGGCCCCGGCACAAGGGGTACGAACCATGGCTTCCCGATTTTAATTTGGCATTCTAATTCCCTGTTTAGTTGATTTTATTCATTAGAATTTTGTTTAGATCAGTTATATATTGTATTTAAGCTTTGGGACGTAGTTTATGTAATTTGTGCTATGAAAGTGTAATTCATAAGCTAATCTTGCTTTATATGTAATTGCCCCATAAGGGGTTGGTATTTGAGTTTATTTACAGTGGTTTTACAAGGCTAGAAACGGTTGTAATTGTTATTTAAAGGATTGTAACTTATTCACTTCGCTTGGTTTTAAGCAAGTGGCTTGTTGAAGGTGTCTATTTTGCCTTGTTTTTCGGCTTGGAAATTTGCTCTAGTCTTTGTATCCACTATCAATTGGTATCAGAGCTAGGCGCATTTTCAGCATCTTTTAGGGTCTTTCGAGGGATTATAGAGTGCCAAATAGGAACCAATGGCAGCCATTATTGACTTCTAGAACACCTAATCCACCTGTAATCAATGCTCCTCAAGTTGTTAAGGATGCATATGAGACATTATTTTTGCAACCATGAGTGATTCCTTTGTTAAGGAGTATGAGAATTTCGTATGTCAAAGATATTATGGAGAGTATGAAAAAGAAATACGACACACAGAATGAAGCTCAAAGGAACATTAGAATGAGGAATCTCATGCGTTGCAAAATGGATGATCACACCAACGTGGAGAGTTGTCTAAGAGAGAGTGAGAGAGCCAGTCACTCATATGATGAGGTGACACAAAAGACGATGTTTGTGCTTTCGGTCTCACCCTCATGGGAGACCTTTGTGGCCAATTTGATGGCCAAAAACACACCTACAACAGTGGAGGAGATTGCATTTTTCATGGAAGGGGGAGAGCAAAGAAGGATGGCAATGAATGGACCATCTTCCATGGTCCATATGATAAAATCTCACCAACCCTCTTCTTTTTCTACTCCCTTACTCATTACTCCTATCACTTGTTCTCTTCCTAACTCTTCTATGGTGAATACACGTAATGCGGGAGTGAGTGGGAGTGATAATGCCAAGAACAAGAAAAGAAAGGGAAATGGCAAATGGAAAGGGAAGGGGAAGCAAAAGGGAAAATCCTACTCCCCTTATCCATTTAGCCCTTAACCTCCTAAAACCCATGCCTACCCACCAAACCATGTTGGCCCCATGCCTTTTATGCCTACACCACCACCCACACCCATGATAGTAGGTGGGAGGTCAGTTTGGCCCTCAAGCCAAGACTATTCGAAGGTGCAATGCTATAGATGCAAGAAATACGGGCATACCCAAGAGTTTTGTAAGTATCCTCCTCCTCCACAAAACCCTCATTTTACTCCTAAGCCCAATACCGGTAAACCTCAAGCTAATACCGGCGGAGGACCAAGGAAAGAGAGTTTGTGTGGTCCATGAGACTTTGATTGCCAATAAGGAGGTGGATGTGTGGGTTCTTGACTCGGGGGCTACTATCCATGTGGCAAATTCTATGAAGGGCTTTAGAAGGTTTTGTGATGTC